TATATATATATATATGTATATATATATATATATATAGACACATATATATATATATTTTTTTTATTTTTTTCCCTTTTAATTCATAGCATATTTGTAAAGAGCAAGTGAAAGATTCAATGATACTAAAGACTTACGTAGCTGGGAATTCAACGCGAGATTCGAATTTGCTTAAGCATTTTGTGTTTTTATCCATAGAGAAGTTGATTAATTACATGTTTTATTTTATAATTTTTATTTCATTGGCATATACAGCATAGCATTTTGGATGGACTACCATTTTATATATTTGGGCCGTTCCATGTTCTTTTAATTAACTACAATCCTATATTGAGGGTGTTTTTTGTTTTTTTTCTTGAAAAATAGTCCCATACCTCGGTTCACAGTTCTTGTTATTTTCTAATTAGTTCTTTTGTTTAGTATTGTTGTTGTCGTTTCATTTTATGCTCCCAATAAATCTACGATATGCTTTGTGTTGTGACAACATAGCAAGCATTGTTGCTGGATTTATTTAAAGTTTCTACAAAAAATTGTCAAGTATTACTTCATGACGTAAGGATATAAAATTATTGTTGCATGGCTTTAATATATCTATACAGCTGTAAATCATAATCCTATATTGTGTCATCTTTACATACCTGATTTTTTCACTATGTTTTTTGAAACAAATCTGAAATGTTCACAATTCCATAACCTATCTTTTTGTTTGTGGTGATCCATTTTTTTACTCAATTTTTTCTCCGACTTTTTGAAATAAAAATGATTTATTACCGATGTTTTGGTCTGTTGATATTTTATTATTCCCCCACTTGCTAACTATGGCTAGAACTAGAAAATAATCAAAATGCCCCTAACAAAGTGTGAAATTTACTAGATTACCGTTATGACTTATTTCCCATACTTGCATGGAACCTTCTTGCACCCAAGTTCCCGGGCATGAAGCTAAATTCCTATTCATTGAAACTACATAATTTTGACTTTCGGACTCATAAAAATTTTCACATAATAAATAACTTGTCTCTATTGTCTACACCAAATTCCCTAGACCTTAGCAACTCCCAAAATGACCAACTAACAAAGAGAAAATGACAAACTCATCTTGTGGCTGAAAAGAAAGATACAATGACAAATACATCCTGGAGATTAAAAAAAAAGACTATGAAAATGACAATCTAGTCTTGGTAACCAAACAGAACTTGAAAATGACAAACACGTCCTGGGAGCCAAAAACTCCTAGATGCGATTTGTATCGTTCTCCCCGAGTTGGAGAAGGCTTGCCTTCGTCGAGTTGCCATCACCATGATACTTGAATAGGTCTTTCACATTGAAGACTGGGGAGATATTCTATCCTCTTGGCATCTCTACTTCATAGGCATTGCCATTGATTTTCTTTTTGACTTTACAAGGGCTAATCTTCTTTGCTTTTAGCTTGCCATAGGTACCAACAGGAAATCGCTCTAGCCTGCGATACACCATAGTAAGTTCTCCAATTTTGAACAACAGTAGCCATTGGTGTCGATTCACAGCATCTTGATACTTAGTGTAACTTTCTCCAACTTCTTTCGAACCTTTTCATGTAACTCCTTCACATAGTCAGCCATGTTTGAAGCATCTCGATCAACATGCTCACGCATCGGTAGAGATGTTAGATCATGAAAATTTAAAGGTAATATTCCATAGACCACATTAAATGGAGCTTTCTTGGTTAGTTGATTTAGAGAATTATCATATGCAAACTCAGCCTGTGGTAATACCAAGTCCCATACTTTCAAATTCTCTCCAACCAAGCTTCTTAACATATTCCTAACACTCCTATTAACCACCTCAGTCTGTGGGTAGTATGCACTAGTAAACTGCAATTTGTTTTCCATTTTACCCCTCAAAGTTCTCCAAAAGTGGCACAGGAACCTAGTGTCTCGGTCGAATGTGATGGTTTTAGGAAAGCCATGCAAGCGTACAATCTCTTTGAAGAAGAGATTGGCTACCATAGTGGCATCACTGGGTTGTCTACACGGTAAGGTGTGCCATTTTTTAAAACCTATCCACTACCACCATAATTGAATCATGGCCTCTTGCTGTCCTTGGCAAACCCACTATTAAATCCGTTGATAAATCAACCCAGCCTATTTGGAACTGGCAATGGAGTGTATGATCCTGTGGTTTGAAAATGTCCCTTTGCCTCTTTACATTTCATACACCGGTCGACAAATCTATACACATCTCTTTACATAGAAGGCCAAAAATACCTCTCCTTCATTTAGGAAAATGTTTAAACCCTTCCAAAATGTCCACCAAGACGACCAAAATGCAAATCAGCAATTAATTGCTCCCTCAAAGAGGTACTAGGGACACGTATATGGACACCATAGAACAAATAGCCGTTGGATAAAAGCAATCGGTAGTAAGAGTTACTGTTGCTTGTTCGGCACCTCTCTGTTATGTCCTTGAAGTATGGTTAATCTTAATAGGCTTCTCGTACTGCTTCTAAACCCACCACTTCAACTGCTAATGTCTTCACCAAATGAACTTGCCGACTAAGAGCATCAACCAATTTGTTTTGCTCTCCTGATTGGTGACTTATAGTGAATGTATACTCTTGCAACTAAGCCATCCACTTAGCATGTCTTGCACTCAACTTCTTTTGGCTATTATTGTGCTTGAGTTCGTCATGGTAAGTGTAGAGAACAAACTCCCGATGAATCAAATAATGTCTCTAATGGTGAAGAGCTTGGATGACAGCTTAGAACTCAATGTCATAAGTCGAATATCATTGCTTCATGTCATTGAGTTTCTCTCTGAAAAATACATAGGTCTCTTCTCTTGACTCAATACAGCTCCATTTCCTACATGAGCGGCATCACACTCTACCTCAAATGCCTTATTGAAGTCAGGCAAGCAAGGACTTGTGCAGGTATCATCCTCTCCTTAATCTCCTTAAAATCCTTTGTAGCAATGGGAATCCACTGATAGCCTTCACCCTTTAAACACTCGGTGCTTGGTGCCATGATGGTGCTGAAATTTCGAATGAACCGCCTATAGGATGTGACAAGTCCATGGAAACTTTGCACTTCAGTCACTGTTTCAGGTATTGGTCAATCAAGTATTGCCTTAGCCTTCTCGTAATCCATCTTAACACCATCCGAAGAAACCACAAAACCTACGAACACCAAACTGTTCATCATGAAACTGCACGTCTCAAGGTTAACATACAATTTCTCAGCCCTCAAAATAGTGAGCTCTTGGCACAAATGATTAAAGTGTGCCTCTGAAGAAACCTTCTCGGGATATACCTTAACACCATCCGAAGAAACCACAAAATCCAAGAACACCAAATTCATCATGAAATTGCACTTCTTAAGGTTAACATACAATTTCTCAGCCCTCAAACAATAAGCTCTTGGCACAAATGATTAAAGTGTGCCTCTGGGTCAGTATTATATATCAAGATATCATCAAAATACTCGACTACAAACTTGCGAATGAAATCTTGAAAGACTTGAGTATTCAAGTGCATGAAAGTGCTAGGTACATTGGACAATCCTTCTGGCATGCCAAACCACTCATACAAGTCTTTGTTTTTCTTAAAGATTGTTTTTCAGTCATCCCTTTCTCGAATTTGAATTTGATAATACCCACTTCTCAAATCTATTTTCGAGAACACCGAAGAATTAGCCAATATGTCTAACATTTGTCAAGTCTCGGATTTGGAAACATGTACTTAATAGTAATCTTGTTTATGGCTTGACTATCAACACACATGCGTCATGACCCATCTTCCTTAGGTGTGAGCAGTGTCGAGACAACACATCGGCTCAAACTTGGTCGAATCAATCCGTTAGACAGCAATTCATTGACTTAGTGTTGTAACTCCTCATGCTCCTTAGGACTCATTTAATGTGCTGGTAAATTTGGCTCATTATATCCCAGAATAAGGTCAATGCAGTGCTATATACTCCTTATTGGCAGTAATCCTTCTGGTAATTCTTTCGGCATAAGGTGAACAAATTCATCTATTAGACGCTTAAGGGTTTTGGGCGCCATAGAACATTGTCCGAACTTTTTTTTTTTTACCACCATGAAAACTTTGCCTACTTCTTCACTAGCTTCAATAAATTGAGCAAGGCCACACGCTCTTCCTTGATGGATTTAGGTGAAACTTCTTCTCACAACGGCAATGAAACAATCTTTCATGCATCTTTCCAAAATGTATTAGTGTTACGCTCACCATTATAGAATGTCTTGTGATGACATTGTCATGGGAGACCGAGCAATATATGGCATGCATCCATTGGAGCAACATCACACCACACATCATCTTTATAAAAAATTTCAAAAAAAAAAATAACAAGACAATGGGAATTAATGGGTACCTCAACTCCTCTTTTGAACTAAGCAATCTTGTAGGGTTGTGGGTGCTTTACCTTCTTTAGCTGCAACTTGTCTACGGCCTCCTCTGACACCATGTTCTCACAACTGGCACTATTGATGATTAGGTTGCACACTCCCCATCACAAGTACATCGGGTGCAAAATATATTTGATTTGAACTAACTATCATCTTGTGGGGCTTTAGGAAGAGAGAAAACCCTTTGGACCAGCAACATGTCTTCTTGGTCTGCAGACACCTCCTCACCTTGTTCATCTTTACCAAACTCCTCATCATACAACGGCTCCCCAAAATCAGCAACTGCCACCTTTTCGTTTTCACTACTTTCCTCGGCTTCATCTAGATTAGCATGCTGTTGGGCAGCAGCCAATAGGCACTCTACTGCCCTATGACCCATTTTATTACATTGAAAACACCATACACCAGATACCTCAGTTTTTCGGGCTTTCAATCGAGTGTTGTATGGTGGTACAGCCCCCAATCGATTACCCGATGTCCTTTCCTTACTGGGCTAGCAACTCCCCAGGTTGGAGGCGTTACCCTTTTGGGTTGTGGCGTACCTACTCTAGGCCTCCAACTAGTACCCCTTATTTGTCTCTCCTGAGCTCACAATGCAGCCTGATATGCCATTTCTAGTTGGGGCAGGTGCATCTTGGATTTGAAGCCACAAACCCAAGATATACCTTGCCACTCGTTGGTCTTCCATCTCATCCAACCCCGTGCACAAGGACAAGTAATAGAAGTCTTTTATATACTCACGGACTGACTTCGATCCTTAATGCAAATGATGAAACTGTTTATACACGGTTTGTGCAATCTTTGGATGAAGAAATTGCTCACACAACTTAGCCCTCATTTTTGCCCAAGTTCAAATCTTATCTTTTCCCTTTCTCAATCTTGCTTCCTAAACTTCATCCCACCAAACAGACGCAAGTCCTTGAAGCTTAATTGCAATTAAATTTACTTTCTTTGAATACGACAAATCCTTCTCTTCAAAGTTTCTTTCTACCATGCTCAACCAATCTAAAAACTCTTCCAGTGATAAACTACCAGAAAATTTAAGTTTAACTTACTAGGGCCAACAACCCCGTGGTTTGGAGGTGTCACCCTTTTGGGTTGTGGCGTACCTACTCTTGGCCTCCAACTAGTACCCCTTCTTTGCCTCTCCTTGGCTTGCAATGCAGCCTAATATGCCATTTCTACTCGAAGCAGGTATGTTCAAGGAGTGTTCATCTTGGATTTGAAGCCACAAACCCGAGATATACCGCAAACCCGAGTTGGTCCTCCACCTCATCCAACCCCATGCGCAAGGACAAGCGATGGAAGTCTTTCATATACTCACATATTGACTTTGATCCTTAATGCAATTGATGAAACTATTTATACACAACTTTTGCAAAATTTGGAGGATGAAATTGCTTACACAACTTTGGCCTCATTTTTGCTCAAGTTCGAATGTTATATTTTCCCTCTAGGTGGATAAGTGCTATTTGGTTCAGCCGGTGAAAATTGAGTCGACCATCCTTGGATTTTTCAAGACCCTCTACACTGCCCCTCTGGGTCACAGACCAAGGATGACCAACCTCGATTTCTTAATCCTTCTGGACCACTAGGCATTCTGGCTAGAACGCCCTTTCTCAGAAGAGGAAATTTCCAAGGCTATTGACAACTTAGCCAAAGACAAAGCATCGGGCCCAGACGGATTCCCCATTGCCCCTTTCAAAATCTTTTGGGAAACATTCCAACCAGACTTCAAAAGCTTGTTTGAGGAATTATTCCAACGGGGAATCCTTCATGAAGCAATCAATGCCACCTTCATTGCTTTAGTTCCTAAGGTCGAAGGGCAAAGAAATGAAAGGACTTTCGTCCAATTAGCCTGCTCAACTCATCCTACAAAATTCTAGCCAATGTTTTGGCCTCAAGGCTAAAACAACTACTTCCCCTAATCATATCGTCGTCTCAATCAGCCTTTATCAAAGATAGGCAAATCCTAGATAGGGCTTTAGTGGCACACGAGCGCGTACACTCTAAGCACATTTCCAAGCAGCCTGGTCTTATTTTCAAAATTGATTGGGAAAAAGCGTATGACCACGTAGACTGGTCATTGCTGGACGAGGCAATGGCAAGAATGGGATTCGGGAACCTCTGGAGAAAGTGGATGAGAGGCTGCGGTTCTCATCCCCACTCCCCCTTTTCTCTTTGCCATCACAAAGAAGTCTTTGCCATCACAGAGAAGTCTTTGGTCGCTCAATCGCTCGTATGTACCAGGAAGGTCTCCTCACTAGCTTCAATTGTAGTCCTCAAGGCCCAATAGTCTCATCTGCAATACACAGATGACACCTTGGTGTTCTTAGACGCTTCTCCAGAAGAAATTGAAAATCTACGGCCTTTTCTCAAATGCTTTGTGGCAACTACAAGCTTCAAAGTCAATATGGATAAATCAAAGATGATGGGGGTGGCACTCACAAACGCCGAAACTAGGGCACTCACAAACGACGAAACTAGGGCACTAATTCCAAATTGGGAATGCTATGTGGAGGACTTTCCAACCACCTACCTGGGTCTACCCTTGGGACTAGGAAAACCTAAAAAGAGACAGTGGTCCCAAGTCATAGACAAATTTGACAAGCGTTTAACAGGTTCGAAAGTGTGATACCTCTCTCTGGCAGGCCACACTACACTAGTTAAAGCAACATTGGCAAATGCTCTGGTGTACCTAATGTCTATCTTCTACATGCTAGCCTCAGTGGCCAACTGTCTAGACCAACTAATGAGGAAGTCAAGATAGGTCGAGAAAACCAAATGCCACCTCATCTCTTGGGACAAGGTCCCACTACCCAAACTCCAGGGAGGGCTAGGGATTAGGGACCTAAGAAAATACAACCTAACCTTACTAGGGAAATGGTGGTGGCGCTTAGCCACCCAGACTAACTCCCTCTGGGTTCAGGTCATACACAGCAAATACAGGATTTGGAAAGAAACTTGGGTGCTTTAGAGGAAATCCCCGAGTAGGGACTCAGGATCGTGGAAGTCCTTCGCCTCCTCCCTCTCACTGTTCAAACAATCCATCCGATTTCATTCTAGAGAAGGTACAAGAGTACGCTTTTGGTCAGACCTCTGGATAGGACACACTCCTTTAAGAGACCTCTTTCCGTACGTGTACCATCTTGCCTTTAACAAAGACTCTACCATAGCAGATGAAATGGTCCTGTCAGGTGGTCAAAGAGTCTGGAACCCCTCTTTCAAAAGAAACCTAACTGAAGAGGAAACTAGAATTTTCCTCTCACTTTCGGCTGCTTTGGATCCCATCTTCATAGTTCCACTTGGGAGGGACTCTCTAGTCTGGACCCTTGCTCCCTCTGGTCCCTTCTCAGTGGCCTCGTTGTACAAAAGACTTATTCAACCCCCCATCTTCGCACTCAATCCTATCTTTGTCCTTTCCAAGGTCTGGTCCACCATTGCTTTTCCCAAAGTGCAGACCTTCAATTGCATTGCTTGTTCTCAACAGGCTCTCACAGTTGACCAGCTCCAAAAGAAAGGGATTCCAATCCCCAACGGATGTGTTATATGCTTGAGTGAGGAGGAATCGAATCCACACCTCTTCATTCACTGCAGTCTTGTTTATGACCTGTGGAGCCAAGTGCTACAGCTATTCCACCTTCAATGGGTCACTCCACCCTCAGTCACGGCTCTTATCTCCTCGTACTACGATTGTCATTGGACGAATGCCTGTAGAATATTGTGGAAGGATGCCATCGCAGCTACTATCTGGGTCATCTGGTTAGAAAGGAATGCCAAGGTCTTAAATGCCACAAAAACGTAGTCTTAGTTCTCTTCCACAAGGTCACTTCTCTACAGGGCCTTCTCAGGGATTTCAGCAAACTCTTTTCTCAGCCAATGTGAAAACATCCTCTATCTCCAACCACAGAAGCTCCAAAGACCCAACAACTGGCTGCCACCTCCAGAAGGCATCATTAAACTTAATTTCGATGATTGCTCTCTAGGGAACCCTGGCCCTGTTGAAGCCGGAGGTGTCTTCCGAGACCATCATCGCAATATCCTGTTCACTTATTCCGAGCACTTAGGATACGAAGACTCTCAGTATGCTGAAGCCATGGCTCTGCTCTTGGGTCTTAAAAGCTTCAACCATTCATGAGGATCACACTTGCTGGTGGAAGGAGACGCTCAAAATGTCATCTCCTGGGCAGGAGGCCCTTTACCACCTCCATGGTACCTATCTTCGAATTTTGATGAGATTGCTTACACTTGCAAGGATATGGTCGTCTTATGAAAGCATACCTAGAGGACATCCAATGAGTTCGTTGATCTTCTGATGAAAGATGGAGCTAGGGCCCAAGCAGAAGACCCCGCCCTGTCCATTTCCTTTTTTTCTCTGGACCACAGAGGGCATACATGAGTTTAGTTACACCTAGTACAGATCTTGTAATCGGGCAAATCTTAAGCACCATTTTTTGTAACTCACAAGTATACCTATTGTGATAGGACAGGTCTATAAACCCAATTTTTGTACAAGGTCTCTTGAACTATTTTTTCACCGAGAGACCCGACTTGTGGGTACTCTCGGATCCCTCTTCTGTACTCTAACACTCTACAGCAATACAAAGTTAACTTTACTCAAAAAAAAAAGTCTTGCCTCTTGAAATTAATCCTACCAAGGGGATGCAAGTCCCAGAAGCTTAATCGCAACTAATTTTGCTTTCTTTGTATTTGACAAATCCTTCCATTCAATGAATCTTTCTACTGCGCTCAACCAACCTAAAAACGTTTCTGGTGATAAAGAATAAGAAAATTCAAGTAAGTCGACTTTAATACCTGAGTCGTCTTCATGGCATCGTGTTCGCCTACTGCTCTCAATTTGGACACTTGAGTCACTATCCAACTCATGCTTTTGTTGATACCTTTGTGAACCCACTCTTTCACATGAATCAGTCCTTGCTTCTGAAATAAGTGAAGTTGTCTCCATCTCCGATTCACAGTGCTCTCCAAACAAGCTCTCATGGATGGAATCTACAGCCGGGGATCTTCTTGCATTTCGCTGAGTTCTATCTTCCAAAAGTACAGACACCAACTCCTTTAAATTGTGCACAGTCGCCACCTACCTATTGAGTTCATGACCTACATTTCTTCGGCCACGACCTCTACCATGAGCAGCCATACCCGCAAATATTCTTTGATACCAAATGGTGCAAAACTGGCAACATAAAGTATAGATCTAAGGCTGATTGTGCGACAATGACCCGGTTTCCTTGAACTTGAACAAGGGAGTGAACAGAAAGGGGATTTTCGGTCCCTAATCTTGTCAAACTCAAGGTTCTTGCAGTACACAAGGATGACCTTCCAACTAAAGGTACTCTTGGTACGCAAGGATGGGAACTTTCTTTCTACACCAAGGAGGAAGAACATTTCATTATCAATTATCAACAAAAGTAACTAACTATTACAATAATGTTCCATACATATAAACTAATCTTGAATTAGAAAATGATCCAAATACCCCTAACAAAATATGAAATTGACTAGATTACCCCTGTGCCCTATTTCCCATACTTACATGCAACCTTCTTGCACCAAAGTTCCCATCCATGAAGCCAAATTCCTATACATTGAAACTACAATTTTGACTTTTGGACTCATGAAAACTTTTACACAATAAATTACTTGTCTCTACTTCAAATTCCCTAGGCCTTAACAAATTCCAAAATGACAAATATATCCTAGGGCTGAAAACAAAGAGACAATGACAAATACATCCCTGCGACAAAAAAAAATTTATGAAAATGACAATCTAGTCCCAGTGACCAAAAAGAACTTAAAAATGACAAACATGTCCTGGGAGCCAAAAACTCCTAGATGCGATTTGCATCATTTTTTGTTTCTGGTTATGACCACCTACTATGAAAGCCTAACCAATGAACTAGCAACCTTTAGATGCTCTTAAATCGGATTTTTTGTAACCATACTAGCATCTAGAAAACTCATGCCCTTACAACAGAACAAGTTGAACCTCTTGTCTTCTTCAACGCTATCATTCCACAAGAAAACCCTAGATTTCCTACCATTTGGTATGTGGCCCACTTTGGATGCGTGTCGTCCCTTTTCAAGGAAGTCCAAATTTCATTTATTTCTGAAATTGGCTGTCTTGGAGTCCCATCTATTTAGAGAAACCCTTAACTATGAAGAATCTCATTCTATTATAGTGAAGTTTGTTTATATCCTCTACAATGAAGTGCACATTTATTTTGTTTTAATATAACACGTGATCTAAGATTCTCTTTGGGTTTCATGACCTTTAGCAAATTGTTTATGTTTTCACTTTTTGTGAATCATTAGCCGTAGCAAATTATTGCAACCCATAAATACTTTGTGACAATGTTATAATCTATGATTAATCTATACTTATGTCTATCCTCTTCAGTGAAGGTAAATTTTCTTTTCTTTATATTCACAGAAGTATCTGGAATTTGGGAAAGGTGCACAAAACGTCTGACACATCGTGTGGAAGAAAGAAGCTTGGTTGAGTACCACTTAAACCTCACCATGAAAGGTTATCAGGCCTTTATATACAAGTAATTTTGTTTCTCTATCTTTGAAGTATGGTTTGTTGGTTTGTTGTATTTGAGATCTAGTGTTTGCCTAAATAGCTTTCTCACTGTTCTGAGACTCGCCCGAGGCAGCTCAGACTCGGCCAAGTAACTCAGCACGAGTTTTGGCCGAGTAGGTTGTACATGTTTTTAAACTTTAAATATATTACTAGCTTAATTTTATGTCAGATATGCTTGAATGGTTTACTGGTTAGCTCAATGAATAAATTTTGGCCTTGTAAAGAGGTCCATTTATGTAAGGGGGACCAACCAGCATCCAGTCTACAACTTCATTGGTAAAAGTGGCACTCATATTTTATATAATCATTTTTTTTCTTCATCTTCTTTAAAGAAAAATGAGCTGGACTCGGACGAGTTACTCGGACTCGCCCGAGGAACTCAACTCGGTCAGGTCTCGAGTACCTTGGTTTGTAGTATTTGAGTATGTTTTATTGGTTTGTAGTATTTGAGATCGAGTGTTAGCCGTTTTGTTGGTTTGTAGTATTTGAGTATGTTTCGTCGCTTTGTAGTATTTGAGATCGAATGTTTACCTAAATGGATAATTAGATGGCTCTATACTTATTTTCATGTTGAAAAAGGAGCATCTCAAATAAGAGAAGGTGATTAATGTGTTTTTTGCATGTACGTACAGCTTTATTTTAATACTTTAGTGTTTCACTTGCTTTTCCATTGCTTAAGGTTTTATTTATTTAGAATTTTAGTGAAAAATTGTAATTTCAGGGAGAGAGCATGTGCACTGCATTTTCTTGTATACGGATAGGAAGGTCGAAAAAGTCTGTTTAGGAATTCCGCAGGTTAGTTCTGGCGTTTGCAAAGTTCATCGAGGGTAGTCATTGATCAGGTTTAGATATCCTTGGTCTGTTAAGACAAAAAAGGTCTACCTTGTATGCATTTGACATGAATTTCAAAATTCACTTCTTGCATCTTAGATTTTTTTTCCCCTTTTTTGTTAAGTCTTGTAGTTAAATTTGCAAATTGCAATTGGATTTTAAAATTTGAGAGTTGACTACTAGTTAATTATTATTTTGAAAAAGTGGTGCGCATGGATTTTAACATGTAAAGGAAAAGAGGAAATTTTGTTTGAGTTTCTACTTACTTATATCCTTGATTAGTGAATGAATGGATGAGATTCATGTTTTTATCTGATTTAGTGCTAAAAGGAAGTATCTTCTCATTCAAAAAAAAGAAGAAGGAAGTATCTGCTCATTTTATGGGTTCCACATCATACTTTTTGAATGATTAAAGAATCTTTTATTGCTGCTAAATCAATGGGCTATGCAATTGTAGTACTATCTCAGAATTACCCTTCTGTCTGACACTGTAATATAGAGAGCTTGTGTCTATCATGGGTGAAATTATGGAGCCTTGCCTGGTTGTAAAATTCTTGATCATCTTTGATGTTTAAATCTGTTTTTTATTGTGATATTTTCATCACAATGTTTTTCTCCAAATAGTGATGATCATTGTAAGTATATTCCTTCCTGGACAGTGTTATTGTAATATGTGATGACTGAATGCTTTATCGCATTTTTATTTAGTTTTGAAGTGTTTTCCCATCATTGCATTGATTGCGGATAGTGGCTCACCGCTCCTGCCACTGCTGCCTAATGTGTTGCCTGATATTAGCATTTATCGCCTGATTGCTTTTCATTCTTTAAATTTGTTGATGCCTATTTCCAAATATGCATCGGCCTTGATTCATTTGTCTTGCTTAGTATAGACCTCATGTGCTTTGTATAGTGTTCATTTATTTGTTAGTTTGGTCTCGAGTATATTGGATTTTGGATGGCCATTTCATACATTATTGGCACACCCTCTTCTCAGTGAGCTTGTTACTAGATCTCCCAGACTGTACTATAGACAGCTGCCTTGTTTTTAACAGTTGAGTGAAAATTTAAAAAGCTTCTATGTATTCCATCTTATGTGATTTCCTGGAAACTCCATGTGGGTATTTTCTAACAAGTTGCTTTCTATATTTGTTTTCAGTGGAGACCATGACATGTTTGTTTCATATCTCGCAACCATGGAATGGATAAAATTGTTGAATTATACAAAGATCGAGAAATGGCGACCATGGTTTGTAGGCGACCAAATAGCAGGGTATATAGTCTTAATCTATTAACTAAACAAACATGGTAACATGATCTAGAAGGGCATGCTGACCATTTGATTTTCAGCTTTTTATTTTGGTGTTCTTGGATAAGCCAGGGTCATCTATGTGGACATGAGTGTGCGACACTAGATGGGTTAGGCTGATGGTTTCCATTGTCATTTATGAGGCCAGTGAATCATGGTTATTCATACAAAGCAACAAAGGAAAAATGAAATTTTTATATATGTTCAGTAAATGGTTATTCATGCACCCCACCTTATCATACTCGTAGAGGAAATTTGGTTACTGAAAAATGACTGGCAGTGACAAATTTGTGTTTGGTTTTCAGGTACGCAATTCGATATGAGCATAATTTACTGGACGCCACATTCAGGGTATCATGTTACTCAAACTGTTAATCCCATTGAACGTCATCAATATCTTTTATTTATTTTTCTTCTTAAATAAGTGGATTTCAAACTTACAGCCTTGTGGTTTGTGATGATGTTCATAACCCTGGAAACTGCATTTTCTTCTTTATTTCAACTAAGATTTTCTCAGAACCACTTGCTACTATGTGAGTTCGACAGAAAATGATTGGTGTGACAATTGACAGGGATCAGGCCATACTGTCCCAGAATACACACCTATCGAGGGTTTGGAGGCTTACAGACGATGGATTGATGGCAGTGATTCCCTATGAAATAAGTATTCATTCATGTCTGGAAATTCCAGATGATTTCAGATGCTGAGTTTCATGGTATGTGATCAGATGATGTCTGATGTTCTTAATGGGAGACATCACGATTAGGACACATAATTGATGCCTTTAACCTTGTGAGAAGTATGTGATATACATATTATTTGCGCAAGTAATATTTTCTTGCCAGTAGTGTGAACTTGTACTGCTCAAGATAATACTTAAATTTTTCTTATAAACAACAACTCTAGTAGAATTTCTATGCAAATGATGCCCTTGTCCTTGCTGTGTAGAATGATAAAAGTAGTGCCCAACCAAATCCATAGAATGGATGTGTTTTCACCTTTTCAATCATATCACAAGTAATGGAAGTTTTTCCCAATGATGAAAATTTAGGTGACTGTCCTTTGATTTTGATAGGGTGCATTGTTTTTAAGAAAATAGTACATATTCAATGAATTTCAAAAGTGATCATGGAAAGTCATAACCATGGTGACATCTTTACGGCAACAAATATTTGCTAAAATGCACTTCTAATACAAAGTGATGTTACGCTGTATAAAGAAATGAGAAACCAAAACCGAAACCAAAGTGTCATTTGGATAGCTTTGAAGTTACATAAAACCTCTTATGCTCAGGGCCACTGAATTTCGTGTTTGGTGTGGAACCGATAGCTATCGAAGATTGCCCTGCTTGAATGGAAAAAGGTTGTTTGGTGCAATAACTGAGACACCAATCCAAATTGGACCTCAGTTTCACACATTATATTGAGTTCTCTTTAAATATGAAATTAATTTCAGCCTAAACTCAATCATTCTGTAGACTGAAAGTGCGGTGTTTGGAGCTTGCTGACTGTAACCTTAATTCGGGAAAACATTTAGCAGGCGGACAAGAGAATGTCTCTGTTTTTCATGTAATGAGGGGGGAACTGATATTACTCATGAATAGTGGGACATACCAAACATTACCTTGTATCATTAATGAATAAATATAAGAATGAGACCTTTGAATGATTGGGATTCCCGATGTTTTTAAGGAGAAGGGAAAGTTAAAAACCAAGAAAAACGACAATAGGGAGGGAAATTAAAAAGCTTAGAAAAGTGCATATCCTATGTGGAAATAAGAGAGAAATGGGAAAAAAAAAAATGAGAAGAAACGATTTAGAGAAAATAATAATATTCAAATAGAAATACAATTTTTCTATTTCAATAATAATATTGTTATAAAAAGCTCACTGGCCTTGGGAGATTCTATCATGCAGGAACATAAATGCCACGGTCGCTAAGATAAAATGGAGGGAACTAGTAAGCTAAGATAAAGGGTACAGTTTTTATACGTAACAACTGCATTGTTCATTTTGGTTAGATGATGTAGATTTGACATATCTACAGTTTTTATATAGTAACAACTATATTGTTTATTTCAGTTAGATGATATAGGTTTGACACATCTTTTAAAATAACATTGAAAATGACACATTTTTTAAAATAATGTCATACCTACACCATCCAAATAATAGACGACATTACTACCACCTTACTCTATAAATTAGGTTGTAAACTTAGACTTTTTCCAAACTACAAACTCCTCAAACCTCCATGCCTGTATATTACTCTTTTCAAAAATAAAATAGTAAAATAATGAAAAATCCTAACTACATCTCCATTGTTCATTTTCATAACAACTTGGATTTACATCCCATATTTCCTATTACAAAGACTCATCTAGCCTTACTAGGACCAGGCATATGAATGGCTCTAGTAGGGTAATGGATAAGTTCCTACTGGGTTTAAGAACTCACTACCTAGGTCGAACCATGTGAGGGCCCGGAGGCGACCGGGAGGGCTTGGATTGTCTTCTCTCTCTCTATCTCTCTCTTGAACTTTCCTTCAGCCCATTTGTTCGGACCTCTTCTTTGGTTATAAGGAAGAAACCATAACAATGAAGAAACCCTAATTTTGTTTATGAGGACACACATAAGCCGTGCAATATCACAATTGAGGCCAAACCCAATCATCCGGTCATCCTAAAGCCAAACCCTTAGAGGCTCTATCTAGATAAGAGAGTATGAAACTTACTTTTTTTTCTTATTTAAATATTGTTTGAACATCAAGTCACAGTATGCAAATAAGGGTCCCTTGATTTGATCTGAAGTTATTTCCTCTGACAGAGGATATGAAGGAGGGTATTGAGTTGAGCATAAGCTTTTATACCAGTAGTGCTTTTCGAAAGTGGTGCAAACAGCAAGGGTGTGAAGCATGAATAACTATTGTGCATCCAGTCTACATAAACATACAATAGAAGCTATATGAAATCTCGGACAATGAAAATAATGGAAAAACAATCAACTATGAAATGACACAAGCTTCAATGTTGTTTAGCCACAAATAACGATCTACATCTATTAGATAATGGTGCGAGACTTTATATACTAATTCAAAAAGATTACAAGGTGAAGCATACCCAAAAACCTTCAACCAAAGGGGTTTCTCTCTACTAAGTCCGTTTACAACGCTGGCAGGCTTCCTCCATATGACTTCCTTACACTAGAACTGGTTTTACTTCAAACCCACAACAGCACTCTCTCATATTACCCACTCTCTCTTCAAAACAGGGTAAAAGTAGGGCCTCAAAATCTCTAACGTGAGCTCTCTCTCTCCTTCATTTCTCACAGTCGTCCTCTTACTCTCTCTCTCAAATAAAATAGAAACAAGTCCGTTGTATATAGGACTATCAAAGCACCACAGTCCTTGGATAGATCTAATTCAATGGTCTAGAAAATATGAGGGAAAAGTAAAAAAGAAATATAAATGAATTACATCCTTTTCACGAATTACCTCATTTTTGTGAACTACCTCCCATTTACGAACTACGTCTTGAATTACCTCTTTTTCACGAATTACCTCTTTTTTATGTAAATTACCCTTTCTACTCTTTATAACACAATAAAATAGAACATGAGCTACCTCTTTTTTTGTTTGAAAACTGGGTAACAACAAGGCACAAAACAGGGTATAAGAAAACTTAAGTCTTACATATGTGATTTGGCTTCAAAAATAACAATCTTATACTTGAAGATAAATCACCAAGTCTCTAAAATCACCACAAATGCACTATTATCCATCCATATCATGTTATTCTTTTTTTAAAAAAACTAGATAACATAGCCAACACTGCAAGCTCTCCAGATAAAAAACACATCCATGAGAATGCCTTCGTCACCCTGCTTTGTGCTTGTGGTTCTCATGCAAACTCCACCTTCTTCAACGCACTTATCCTTCTATTCTTGGGGCCATCTTGCCTTCGCATATGCTTTTGGTGAATTATTTCTTCTACACCTACGAGCACAATCCTTGATCTCATATCATCGATATCATTTGCATAAGTCATTCCGATAAAGTCTCACATAAGATCAAAACTTTGGCAATACTTACCTATACTTCTTAAATTTCCAAGTGCCCATCCCACCATTCCAATATTTTCTTCCTAAATTAAATACAAGTCAATCGAAGAACAAACAAATGAAATGATAATTTTAATACAAATCATGGCAACATCAGCCCTTTCATCACCAAATTTAGATTATTACTTTGAAGAGAGGTGCTTCTGGCTTTATATCCTCTTGTGAAACTCCAAATTCTTAATTTGTCTACTTTGCCGAATATAGAACTTGCTTTGCCCCATCAAGTTTTTCCATTGCCAAAACCATGTACCTCTTGCCGAACTTCTTCTTCTACAACTAAATTTACATTTTCATTTCCAGTTGTATTTCCTAACAATATATATGTTTTCTTCCTAGACTTCCTTCATTATCAATAGAGCCCCATTTGAAACTTTGAGTACTCCACCTTGCCTGATGGAGGCCACATATTGAGATAAGGAAGTCAAATAAGCTCTTCTTCAAATTCTACACATGTTTCACATTTTTAAATATCCAAACAATAACATCATACTTTTTTTATATGTGTTTCCACTGCCCAAAATCTTACGTGCACGTTTATCGCTAAGATAGACAAAAATGCCTATCTACACTTGTATATGATGAAAATTATGATCTTTCAGGATAAACATTAAATGAAGCACCAGAGTACAAAACCAAGTATCTTCAGTAGATAATGTTGTGGATACAACACTAAAGTAACCCCATCATAAATAGCACTTACTTCATCATGGCTATCATTTCTCTTAGCCATCTGCTTATTTTTTAAATCATAACAATCTTTTGTATAACCAGATTTCTTGTAATATAAGAAGTAACCTTCTTGTCTTGTGACAAGGATTTAAATTAATAAATTCCAAGGATTGGCCTCTTTGTTGTATCCTTCATCTGTATTCTATTGTCAAGGTGTAGAGATAGAAAAATGGTGGTATGTGGGAAGAGAGGTGGTGTAGATAGAAAAATAGTGATAAGAGGAAGGAGAGAGAGATGGTGGAACGAGTGAAAGAGGGGGCATACAGAGAGAAAAATGGTGCTACGGGGAGGAGGCACTTTGGTCATGAAAAGATGACCTGGTGGGTGGTGTGGAGGCACTTTTAGCAAATATCCAGTTTAAGTTCATCTTTTTTAAAAAACAATTCGTGAGGTTGTGGTGGTGTGATGTCCCAAAACTTGGACCGGCAAGGTTTAAGGGTTCTGAGGTTCAGGACGTGGACCAGTACTTATGTGCCTTATTGCTACAGAATAGCGATTAGAGCTCGCTTATTGGACAAGCGGTCCAAGGTTTGGGATATCGAACTGGCCCTGAGTAAAAATAAGTAAAAATAAAAAATAGAAATTTAAAACCATGTCAGTAACATTGGACTAATGGACAAACTGGAAAAGAAAGACAAGACACGAGTCGAACCTTTCACCTAATAATTATAAAAAATAAAACTTTTTGTATTGGGTGTGGTTTGTATAGAGCCCAGTCTCTAAACAATCAAATTAGAGCCTATTTTCAAATAGTATCGAGAACTGTGGTTTCAAAATTGGAAATCTTTGTAATAGCTTTAAAATATATTTTTATTTTTATTTATAAAGTTTAAAGCTTTAAAAATAGTGTAGATCGACAGATCTATAGAAACTTGAAAATCTTAAAAATTGACGGTTCAAAAATACATTACAAAATACATTATTTTTAAACCTTAAAATTATTTTTTCCTCATATCCATGCATCTTGATGTTGAGATGATCAATTTGAAGATATTTAAGCATCAAAATAACCTCATGAAATTTTTGAGATAGGCTCTAATTTGATTATTTAGAGCCTCGGCTCTTTATAAAATTTTCCCTTTTGTTTT